GATATTGCATTGACCATTGCGTAACTACCGGAAAGCCCGTAACCGAAGTCACGGGTCTGGATGCTTCACCATCCAGTATTAAACTCTCATGATTTCTCTTCCTCAGCTGCAGAATATTCCGTAAAAATTTCAAGTTAAAAGGTTGGCTTGTTTCGCCTTGATAAGATAAAAAAGAATCAAATATTCGGAAACACCGCACTGGATATGCGTTATGGTTTCGTACGTTAGCTACCGATTTAGTAGTTGTATTGAATAAATTAGATTAAGCTCGAATATTGTAAGCTGTTCTAATTGATGGAACGTTCTGAAGATGACTTCATCAGTGTATTCGACACAAATGAGGACTTAAATGTAACATTAGCGGATGTCGAGTTTTCCCATTGTGAGAAAATCGTGATCGAAGTTTTCGAAGCTTCACTTTGCCGCCCGTATAGAACCGCGAGAGGATTCTTATGAAGATTTTCATGCAGAGCAACTCTTCCTGTAAAAAACTCACGTTTTACGATCTATGTGAGTAAGAAATGGAAGGATAACAGCGATTTGAAAAAATGTGACATCCGCTATTTTTACTGAAAACACTTTTTTATGCATGAAACTAAGTCCTCAGAAAGGGTAAGGCTGGTGAAACGATTGAAATGAACCGAAAGTATGTCAATGCTGAGTCATTTAATCCAATTGAACAAAAAACTAAACCGCCTGTAACTTCTGCAACAAAAATAAGGAACAAATTATAAAATCCGTTAAAAACTCATCAATTCTGGCGAAACGGTCCCGATATGTATCATTTGAGTGTCAGCTGCAGCCCATGGCCGATGCGCGGGCAGTGTTCGCAAATGCGTACGAATCTCCGCGGTGTCCTGCAGCGCCGGCCGGAGAGAACACTGACAGAGAACAGTGGATTCGCACATCCGCTGTTCTTACAAACAACGTGGTTTTCAGTTCGTATCTCGCCGAATAATTACGCTGGAAGTCCGTAACTTTGCACAGGCATTTTTGAGGGCTCCAGAATTCGTAAAAGGCGTTTGCCCTACAAATGGCGGATGCCAGCGACCGCTATTGTTACATATAAATCCTCAAACGTCAATATCTTCCTCGAGTCCGTAGTTCCTTCTTTGCACCAATGCACAGGATACAGCGTCGGCTTGAGGAAACTCATCTTCAAAGCAGGAAAGAATCTTCACTTATTCTTGATCTCCATTGGCTATAGTGACAGGGTCCGTAATATGTCTTGCGCCAAGCATCCACCGCACCACGCGGCTCCGATTGTTATGCAGATCTGACAAATCCACTCTGAATTAGATTTGTGGACACACAAGCTTCGACCAGTAGTGATGTAAAGGTCGACTTTTCCCGCTAGGGGAAAAGCCGCCTCTTGGGACCGTAGTCCCGAAGGGATGATGGGTGGGACATCAAAAAGAAAGAACAACGGAGTTAGGAGGAACCCTTCTAACTCGTCCAACCTCCACACGAGACCGCACAAATCATAACACACTAAAAAACTAAGGAGAGAACGAAGATTCAGCCCCGAAGGGCTTATTTTAAAAAACAACTTACATCTCACGACGCGGTCACGAATGATCCAGGAACGGGAATGGCTGAAGGCCTGACTTGTATTTTCGGGTTCCTCCGCCTGCGCGCTGTTTGCGGAGGAAACCGAAAACAGCAAGTTTCAAGATTCTGACGGGAAGGCTATTGACCCCTTACAGCGAAAAGTTCTCTAGGATGTCGTAAGTAACAACGGTGTTCAGACGTTGAGCCACTTTGGCTAGATTGTGTTCTGGCTTCGGACATAGTTTTAGGCATCCTCCTTGTTCAACGTCCAAACCGATTCCCGTTTATATTAGCGTATAACGATTTTGGTAAGCTGATCTCTCGAGGAATAACGGTTCGGCTTTCGACGCGTTTTCCTGGAACGGTAGAAAATACATGATCTATTCTGGATTTTGTCAGAAATCTGCATACGAGGATCCATTGAGCCTCTGTAATCATTGCATTGGGTAGTCAACGTGTGTTTGGATGTAGCACGTTGACAAAGGGAGAGGTACAGGGAGTGGTAATATGGGGCCATCGTAACAGTGTGAATTTGGATGTAGGTATCAGGAG